TAATTGAAGCTCTCGTAACTCTTGAGATCCTGTTTGTCACAATGATTCAGTTCACATATTATTTTTAACTTTTCTGAGATGATCCAATTTTGTTCTAACCTAACAACCACCATACATATTTAAGTAACATTATTACGTAGTCTAGGACAGTAGTTGGCAAACTGCGGCTCGCAAGCCACATGTGGCTCTTTGGGGACGTACACATGGCTCTGAAGTAAAATTGAAAATGAAAATAAAACTCTCGTTTCATTTATAAAATTTTTAAAGGATATTATTCACATAATGGTGATTTCATTTGNTCACAGTTGGTTTTGAAATCAGGTTGTCAACATCCCCCAACTTTATTTTTCTTTTTAAAAATTGCTTTGGCTCTTATGATTTAATGGGATTTTTGTTTGTTTATGTTTTATGACATAAAATGCAATTTGCTCCTAACAGTGGTAAATTTGATGCCTTCAAACGCTACCATAAATAAACTATATAAAACAATACTAAAGAAAATTGAATTTTTGTTATGATTGTTTGATAGGCTAACTGGTGGTACAGGGATATTAACATTCAAGGACACCATAGCGGAAAAGCTATTAATATTTGAATGTGAGCCCTCTGGAAACTTAGTTCATGGCAATGGGTGATTTACTTAACCTACATACGTAAGCCCAATTTCCTCATTTGTACAACGGCATCTATTGTACCTTATTGGGTTATTGTGAGGCTCCATGAGATCACGTACGTGAGCACCTACAGCACAGCTGGAGCACAGGAAGCACTCAACTGTTAACCATTAATAGTATCACAGTGGTTTGGTGTATCACATCTTGTATATATAAGAACTTTCATAAACGAGATTACATAAAAGATGATTGGGGAAGGCTGATTAACAAATGTAGAATTTTTTACCTTATGATTTTGACATATTTCACCTTAGAATTGATTTTTAAAGTGAAAGTCATTGCCAAAATAAATTATACCATATTATTTTTTCTATTTAAATAACAAACTAAAAGAATTTTAGACCTGTAATGACATTAAGAGATTATTTCCCCAGTTTTATGCCTGGAACCTGTTAGCCCCCTCCCCATTTCACTCTTCTGTGACACTCTTCTGTTCACTCTTCTGTGACAAAGGCTGTTGGCATCGCTTCTCCCTTTTTTCTAGAAGTAAAAAGCCTGTATATCAACTTCATAGCATTTCATTCAACAATGCAATAAAAATTTACATTTGTAATTGAGCAACCTATTAAAAATCAGGATTTGGTTATCATCTCCATTAATACCCAGAAGTTAGAATTTCTCTAAATTCATCTGATCTAAGGCATATATTTCCTAGAGGCCAGACCTGGGAGTAGGGAGTTTTTCTTACAAATGACATTCAGTGTTGAAGAGTTTTCTTATCCTAACTGTATGTTTTAGCCCAATTTTTAAATGTGTTTAAATGATCTCATTAATAAAATATTATACTAAAAATTTAAAATAGAATCAATGATTATGTAACTTTTGAATATACACTGGTGAATATCTGGAATCTAAGGAGAACGTGCTTTAAATAGAATTTAATCGCATGCTAATGAAACAACTCTGAGGCTAGCCAAATTATGAAATCTTCTGCCTTAGATATTTTTGATGACATAGAGCAGGGAACATTTGGCAATGCCCAGAGACATTTTTGATTGTCATAAGTGGGGAGGGGAAGTGGAAGGTACTGCTGGTGTCTAGTGAGCAGAGACTGAGAGGGCTACTTAAGATTCTGCAATGTACAGGATGCCCCACAACAAAGGACTGTCTGGCTCCAATGTCAATAGTGTGAGAATCCCTGACATGCAATTGCCTTTCCAGATGGACTCCAAAACCTTCTCATTACCTAAGGGTGAAGAATAAAATCAAAGAATGGATGAAAGGACTCTAGTGCACAATTCTTCCTTTTGATTCATCTTACAAGATTCACCTATCTTCAAATAAGAAATATGCC